ACATTTATCGCAAACAATACACAGAACACATTTGTTATACAAATCATTATTTGGTCGCTGGTACTGTATATATACTCAGGGAAATATATTAAGGAACTGTTTTAAATATTTAAAATATGTTTCGGTATTATCAAAGCAGAACAGAACATAGCAAATCCATTCAAATCACAAAACAAACATGAATCTTTACACGAGTTTACTGTCTGCTTTGTATTGAGAAACAAAACATTGCAAGTTGAAAATACAATATGGCTTCCAAATCTCAAGATGGAGAAGTGGTCTCGGAGAAATGCTTTGGCAGTTTAGTTTCACATGAGACACTAATGTTTTATAGTTATGAAAGCATCTATGTGAATTCAACACTTTTTTTGTTGAATTTAACTTATTCCATTACTTTGTCTAATTTATGCCTATATTTGTACAGTGTATGTATGTTGAATTGCGAATGTAAAGGACGGACAAAGACAGACAGACAGACACGTAGTCCAACACACACACACACACACACACACACACACACACACACACACACACACACACACACACACACACACACACACACACACATATATATATATATATACATATATATGCACGGACAGACATACATGTACTTGTCTACACAGCCGCATGTGTCTGTCCACGGAAAGGCATAGAAAGAGAAATACAGACAGACACATATGGACACAATGACAAAGCATGGATGGACGCAAAGACACTCACACATGTACACATACAGAAAGACACAGACAGAGGCGACAGGAAGACAGACACACAGTCAGACATACACATACGTGTAGACATATAGAAAGACACAGACGGAGACGAAACAGACAGGCAGACACACAGTCAGACACACTCATATGGACAAAGATGGAAAGATACAGACAGACAAACAGACACAGTCAGACGCACATATGGACAAAGATGGAAAGATACGGACAGACAAACAGACACAGCGAGACACACACATATGGACAAAGATGGAAAAATACAGACAGACAAACGGACACAGTGAGACACACATATGGACAAAGATGGAAAGATACAGACAGCCAAACAGACACAATCAGACACACACATATGGACATAGATAGAAAGACACAGACAGACAAACGGACACAGCGAGACACACACATATGGACAAAAATGGACAGATACAGACAGAGACAGACACAGTGAGACACACACATATGGACATAGATAGAAAGACACAGACAGACAAATAGACACAGTCAGACACACACATATGGACATGGGTAGAAAGAAACAGACGGACAAATAGACACAGTTAGACACACAGTCAAACAAACTGTCGGACACAGCATATTGACATGGATAGAAAGACACAGACAGACAAATAGACACAGTCAGACACACACATATGGACATGGATAGAAAGACACAGACAGAGACAAACAAACACGCGATCTGACAAACTCTTACAGACACACAGTCACTCTATGGTCCCTGTCTTGCCATCACACCTGATCACAAGTCGCACACACAAGTACATATGTTATATCAGTGCATAAATGCTGTGAAATTGGTTTGAGCGAGAAATGATTTTCTGTGTAAAATTAATCACATTAATTCACGAATCCATATTGCGAGTCATTAGTTTAATGCATTTAGCCACTGAAGTAAAATCGCCCATTGTCCTCATCTCATCAGCGTAACGATGCATCGTTTCCGTTTATGCATGGAACAATATAAATGAATCTTAAATGTGTAGTTTCAATAATCTCCATTGATGTTTTGTTTGTTACCGGGTTCTCATTGTAATATCACCTATGTTACAGATTAGTCTGTTTCACCGTCCCTGAACCATATTCTTTTCCCTTCCGCGAAGCACTTACTGCCATGCCATAGCCCTAGAGAAGAAAAGCCTGGATTTGTCCCATCTGACTGAGGCTCCTTTCCGAATGAAACGTCGCTGCTTGTGTCTATTAAGTACAGTTTAAGCCTGTGTGTAACAGAAGATGTTAACATGAGGGTGTGTGTGTGTGTGTAAGAGAGAGAGAGAGAGAGAGAGAGAGAGAGAGAGAGAGAGAGAGAGCGTGTATGTATGCATGTGCGTGTGTGTGTGTGTGTGTGTGTGTGTGTGTGTGTGTTTGTGAACGTGTGAACGTGTGAACGTGTGAACGTGTTTATGTTTGACCCTTATACAAACACCCCAGCTCTAAATAGCTTGCAAGCATTCCTGTATCAATATCAATTTACAAAACACGATAAAAATAAAAATAAAAATAAAAATAAAAATTCAAAGAGATGCAACGAATCTTTGTTGAAGACACTTTATATTCAAGTAGGTATATATCCCTTGGCTTCCAATCGATGATGACGGATGTACACGACAATATTGAATATCAGTCGTGTGTCCACAATACGGACAATACACAACAGAATCCGCATCTTTCCTGTAGAAAGTGAAAGACAAATGTATAGCAGGATATATCTGTACCACATTGTGAATTCATTCACGCCTCCATCGATGTTTCCTCTAGCGGTGGAATACCATTGAACATTTTGAAAGTACACACCGAGAAGACCTTTTGCTAGATTAAATACGCAATGCACCGTATGTCCTCTGAAGGCTAGACGCCTGGTCTGCAAACCATACTTTTACTCCAATAGGCACTGAATCACAAGTACATGTCGTACCTCAATATAAAAGTCGGACCGCAAACAGACCGCAGACTCCATCAGACGCCGGACCAGTGTTCCTTCAAAAGACGCCTTGTTTTGTTTTAGCCCCTTTATGTCGAGCGCCAGACGGTAACAACAAGTACCATCTTTTAACGTCTTTTGGTATGACGCGGTCGGGGATCGAATCCCGAACGTTCCGCTCTCAGGGCGGATGCCCTACCACTAGACTTCTTGTTAACCTGTTAAGAAATGTTCTCTGAATGTCTACCACATAACCCCATCTTCCCAAGGCAAGAGAGTTAACTGACTATAAAAGTCCAGTTTCGACCCTTGCCGAACTAGGCTGGAATTCCTGGGCTCGATCGTAGCGCCACCAGTGGCTATTACCAGTTATGTCTCTTCTAAGCCTCTCCTATGGACCAATCAGATTCCACCTCTCGTATCACTTGCGTTTGCTTCACACAAAATGGTGGCAACCAGTCAAAACGATCTGATCGATAATCAAGATCCATATTGTGATAAAACGGGTCTTACATCGCGAAATGCATCAAATCACGTGGACACCTTGATTGAAAACATGAAAAGATTTGGAAAATATCTGCTGACAACAACTGGGCGGTGCACATGCTTTGCAAATCCTGCAATCGACCGAAATCTGCACGACAGTTTCCGAACCGGATTTCGATTTCGGTGCGCGAATTTGATTGGACTATGCATAGACTCGTTAGTCCAGCCAAAATGTAACTCCATAATACCAGCCTAGTTCGCCAAGGGTGGAAACTGGACTTTTAAAGTTAACTCTCTTGCCTCGGGAAGATGCATAACCCTAACCTGTACTGGGGCCTTGGTTGCTGTGAACCTGATCAAACAACTTTAGAGTCGTATTACTTTGAAATCTTCTTTAAAAAAGCTTGAATGTACCTAAAAAGTTGTAAAATGTATACACCAAAAGGCTTATTGGTGTTCTGCTCGACTTAAAGGTAACACTGACTATTATAAAGATGAAGTCATCCCACTTGTCATACAGTCATGTTGAGAGAGCTTGTTTTAACTCCAAATCATAATGCACAGATGACAACATGAAATAGCCCAAGCTAGTTCAAGTGGATAAATCAGTCAGGTGAGGTGAGGTGAAATGGGGTTTAACGTCGCGTCCAAGATTATTGCACTTATATAGCGACGTGCATGCACGTGTGTGTGTTTGTGGGGCTGCTTGTACTCGTCCGGACTGATGCCGATTTATAGTGCTAGCTCACTGAGATACCATGCTGCAGTTTAACGTGAATACCCCACTCAGACACAGTATACTGACGCCGAGCGCCTGACAGGGTAACAAGTACAATCTTTTAACGTCTTTTGGTATGACGCGGCCGGGGATCGAACCCCGGACCTTCCGCTCTCCGGGCGGACGCTCTACCACTTGACCACGGAGGCGGAGGATAAATCAGTGGAAGTAAATTATATATTTGACCATTATTGGACGATATAAGATCATTGATATACATGAAGGTGGATACAGTGCTTGGATATGAGCGCTCGATCTCTGCCTTGTAGAAAGAGTGTCATATGAAAGATGGTTGTCCTATAGTAGCACAGTTCAAGCATGCGTCATGTGTTTATTTGTTCAGGACATTGACTTTGTAGTTGTAGTTGTATATCTAAAGTTTTTTTAATTTGTTTTTTTAAAGGATTTTCAAGACAATTTCGAGAATGATTAATCAGAATGTTTGATCAGGAATGGAGAAATGCTCAAGAAGTAGTTCAATATGTTATTAGTTTAGATTGTTTGAAAGTATGCTAAATATTTATTGAACATGTCATCAAGAGGGTTCGAAATGGGTAAGGCCAACATATCGAAAGCAGATGGAGGATAGAAATGTCCATATAAAGATTCGCCGTTCGGTTTCTCAAGGGAAGGTTCCCTGAACGACCATTACACGAGTTAATGTGCAGATTCTATTGCTTGCATGAAGTCGGCTGGCCTAAAACAGTCACTTACTACTCGAGCGGCTCTCGCTTTAAAATGTCACGCTTGCGTCCAAAGTATCACGTATTTCACACGTTTTTCAAAGCGTTGCTTGGACACAGTGAAAATAAAGTCTTGTGCATGTAAAACGTCAACGTCAGAGACTGATCAGACTCGAGTGTCCGCAGAAACAAATCCCACTGGGCGTAAACAGCAAAATAGTAGTTAAAAACTATTTGAATGGATCACTGGAAATTAGTGATGACACCAGACTTTCCCGAAAAGGGTCAACATGTCTGTCTCTACTGGTAACACCCGCCACAGACACAATTTGTTTCAAAAGTAAGTGTTTGTCTGTTGCCTTCCACCGCACCCCTAAATCACCATGCTGGACAAGATCGTTCTGCTGGGACACGCTACGGCGGGGAAAACCTCGCTAATCCAGCAGTTCACAGAGAGAACATACCGCCGGACCTACTCCCCCACCGTCGAGGACTTCTATACGCAGGTGGTCAAGTTTCCAGGTGGGTCTGAATCTGAGTTATTCACAAGATTGAGGAAAAACATGGCAAATATGCGGACCTCGCTTTCGAAATGTCACGCTTTCATCCCAAGTACCAAGTTGTCCGACTCCCCATTGTTCTCGGTGCCTTAGGTTTTGTACCTCCCAAACTGTTGACTGACATTGGGAGAGTACCCGGGTTTGCTACCAGGAATACAACTCTTCTGACAATCTGGGTAATGCAGAAAGCTGCAGTGTTTGGGAGTCTTCACATTCTCTGAATTTTTTTGATAATATCAATCACTTGATTTTGTAGTCCAAAGTTTATTATTTACAGACCGAAGTCACATAGCTAGACTATTGCTGAGTGCAGCAATAAACAATAGTGAATGTATGTAACGTACCCTTGTCGTCAAAGCCGGCTGAATAGGAGCTGGGTGGACAGGCTGTGTGACCTTGACCCTGATGATGTTGATCATGCTATCAACCACTTGTTTACCTGGCCCTGACGCCTTTATATCAGCCGTCATATACATAACGTTGTATTGTGTTCAAGACTTGTCTTAAGGAAACCCAACTAATAGTGCCTAGGGTTTGAGTCGTTCAGTATTTATCCTGACAAAAATAGCTGTAAGCTCAAAGACACTGTCTCTACCCGAAAATCCTCAACACCTTCTGAACCCCGGAACAGGCTTTGTTGAAGAAAATGTGTAATAATTTTATGATTGCTTTTTCTAAATCAGGGATTTCATTCTAATATATACCATGTAAATAAAAAATAACTTTGTATGATTTTTTAAAAGAAATTAAACTTAAATATACTGTCGTCATATTACATAACATATATGCTGCCCTTTTTGTCTCTGCAGTAAATACATGAATGTCAAATACTGTATTTTAAAGCTATTTGCCCATAGTGTGTATATACAAAACCAAATTACCACAAACTGGCCAATGGTTTTTGCACGGTACTTTTAACATTGAATTTACAAAGGGGTACGCAAGATACCGCAAGTACGTTACCACTGAATGACAGCTCAGCAACATACAAAAGCATGGCGTGGAATGTAGCTGGTGATGGTGTGCATATTTATGCGAAATGTTTCTGTGAAGAATTTGTTCAACAATCACGTTACCAGCAGATACGTTACTAGTTTTCAGGGATGTTGGTTGTTTGTTTGTTATTTAACGCCGCACTCAGCACTATTCCAACTATATGACGGCGGTCTGTAAATAATCGAGTCTGGACCAGACAATCCAGTGATTGACATCATGAGCATCGATCCACGCAATTGGTATACGATGACATGCATTAACCAAGTCAACGAGCCTGACCACCCGATCCCGTTCGTCGCCTTTTACGACAAGCATAGTCGCCTTTTACGGCAAGCATAGGTTGCTGAAGACCTATTCTACCCCGGATCTTCACGGGTCTTTTAGGGATGTGACGAAATTAAAATTTTCCTGCTTCACTGAAGCTTTGTAATGACAGGACAAGGAATAGTTCCGTGAGAACAACTGTTTAAAAGAACTTTTATATTGAATAATGACTAGTACTAATGTAACGTACCCGTTGTTTTCATGGCTTTGGTAACGTATCTGTTGTTTCAATGGCTTTGGTAACGTACCCGTTGTTTTCATGGCTTTGGTAACGTACCTGTTGTTTTCATGGCTTTGGTAACGTACCCGTTGTTTTCATGGCTTTGGAAACGTATCTGTTGCAGATACAAAAGTCGAATAAACGTTCGTTAACCTTTTTAATCACCCCAGACCCACCACACAAACAAAAAAGTAAATATAAAACGTGAAAAACCGAAATAAAGAAATTGACTCCAGTTTTTCACGTCAATAATGCGTTTGCCTTATTAAATCATTTTGTTGTGTCAAACTATGTTCTTTCTACAAAACTGTTCATTTGATAGTTTTATCTGAAATAAAAAGAGTCAGCTGCCTTACGTTTTAACGAAAACAATCAAAGAGGGAAAGAATACCAAGTTGGTAATTAAGGAAAAATATTAATTTGATTCCTCTAGTCTGTAATTGCAGTCGAAAATATTCTTTTATTTATTTTTATTATTTCATTTTGATTAAACAATGTATACTGATAAAATCAATAGAAGGGATTGATTATATAGTATCGTGACACAATCATTGACATCTTCAGACATTCGCAGCCTTTCTATTAACTTTGCATTTCTGAAGAGAATAAATGCCTTTGAAATGATATTACTAATAATACAACAGATGGATGTTTTTATGTACTACTTTTATACACATAACATATATTCTTTATCAAAATATAAGAGTTCCATTTAAAGTGATCATAACACAATATTGGAACAAAAAGGGAAGACATTTACCATGTTTATCTTTACTTTTAGATCATTTTGATACGGTAAAAACCTTATTTACATGTTGTACACGTTCTGTGGCGCCTGCTGGTGGAGAGTGAATGTTCAGTACACATGAAGCTGCAAGCATCAGTGTCACTGCTAGTGGAGAGTGAATGTTCAGTACACATGAAGCTGCAAGCATCAGTGTCAGTAGACGTGTTGTACAAATTTATTGCTCGTCCTGCAAATGTTCCACCAAATCCTAATTAACCATAATCCTTAATTCAATCATGGAAATACTTTCTTTATATTAACAGAAAGTATTTGAGACAGGTGGAATTAATATCATGTGGATTCTCAAAAATTCAAAAGATTTGCTTGACATCCACATTCTCAGAAAAGAAACTGGTTCAATTCTGTCAAAATATTTTATTTCTCAACTTTGTACCCCACTATTCCACATGACAAGTTCAAGGAACACCTTCATTCCTTGATCTGTTGGGCGTTTGTCACAAAACGTGGTGACCACAGATATACGTGTAGTTACATATCCATTTTCAGAGGTTCGGGTCGATTTGTCAAAAATGAAAGCAAATGCCATCTGAAGTTTACTGAGAAAACAATTATGTGAAATGCTGAACTTCCTCGTTGATAACCTCTTTGGAAAATTTGGGGGTAAGACATTTAGGCACGAAGTAGGCATCCTCATGGGCACAACTTGGACCCCCTTTAGCCGACCTGTTATACACTCTTTTACTCATTGATAAAATCTATGTGGAACTTGGGGATAAGACATTTAGGCAAGAAGTAGGCATCCCCATGGGCACCACTTGTGTCCCCTTCTTGCGGATTTGTTTCTCTATGCATATGAATCGGAATTTCTGCTCGGAATCGCAAAGTCAAAAACTAGGTAATTTAGCCAAGAAGTTTAACTTACGCTTCAGGAATATCGATGATCTGATATGTTCGATAACCATCAAAGAACCTATTTTCCCTTCCACTGCTTTACCCACCTAAGCTAGAAATAAAGGAGACCATTCAGACCGCCTCGCCTGTTTCATATTAGATCTATGCATAAAGATTCAGAGTGACAAAACAGTCTTTACAAGACTGTATGACAAAAGGGATGGCTTCAACTTTCCAATAGTCAACTTTCCCTTTGATGTTGAGCAATTCCATATTTTGACTTGTACCGTATGTTACCGTGTTTATCCAGGTAAACAATTGGCTTGCCTTTGCATGTGTTTGTGACGGGTTCCACCGGTTGGGCAGGGTCTGTAAAAGTAGACACTGTCTTCTAAGGGTGTGTGACAGTAGATATGTGTTGTTAGGGTCTGTGAAAGTAGACGTTGTGTTGTAAGGGTGTTTGACAGTAGATATGTGTTGTTAGGGTTTGTGGAAGTAGACGTTGTGTTGTAAGGATGTGTGACAGTAGATATGTGTTGTTAGGGTTTGTGGAAGTAGACGTTGTGTTGTAAGGGTGTTTGACAGTAGATATGTGTTGTTAGGGTTTGTGGAAGTAGACGTTGTGTTGTAAGGGTGTTTGACAGTAGATATGTGTTGTTAGGGTTTGTGGAAGTAGACGTTGTGTTGTAAGGGTGTTTGACAGTAGATATGTGTTGTTAGGGTTTGTGGAAGTAGACGTTGTGTTGTATAGGTGTTTGACAGTAGATATGTGTTGTAAGGGTTTGTGGAAGTAGACGTTGTGTTGTAAGGGTGTCTGACAGTAGATATGTGTTGTTAGGGTTTGTGGAAGTAGACGTTGTGTTGTAAGGGTGTTTGACAGTAGATATGTGTTGTTAGGGTTTGTGGAAGTAGACTTTGTGTTGTAAGGGTGTTTGACAGTAGATATGTGTTGTTTGGGTTTGTGGAAGTAGACGTTGTGTTGTAAGGGTGTTTGACAGTAGATATGTGTTGTTAGGGTTTGTGGAAGTAGACGTTGTGTTGTAAGGATGTGTGACAGTAGATATGTGTTGTTAGGGTTTGTGGAAGTAGACGTTGTGTTGTAAGGGTGTTTCACAGCAGATATGTGTTGTTAGGGTTTGTGGAAGTAGACGTTGTGTTGTAAGGATGTGTGACAGTAGATATGTGTTGTTAGGGTTTGTGGAAGTAGACGTTGTGTTGTAAGGGTGTTTGACAGTAGATATGTGTTGTTAGGGTTTGTGGAAGTAGACGTTGTGTTGTAAGGGTGTTTGACAGTAGATATGTGTTGTTAGGGTTTGTGGAAGTAGACTTTGTGTTGTAAGGGTGTTTGACAGTAGATATGTGTTGTTAGGGTTTGTGGAAGTAGACGTTGTGTTGTAAGGGTGTTTGACAGTAGATAAGTGTTGTCAGGTTCTGTGGAAGTAGACATTGTGTTGAAAGGGTGTGTGACAGTAGATATGTCTTGTAAGGTGTGTGAAGACATGTGTTTAGCAGAGATGTCTTGTGGCAATAGAAAGGGTTTTGTCGCTTTTGTTTCTTGTCTGTGGCCTGGGTCAAATGCCACTGTAACGTGATATAATGTCTTGGTCACGATGTATGTATGATATGTTTGTCTTACATGTGCTACTTTGCCTATAATTCCTTGAAAAGGTCGAGTGATATATAAGTTGGTTTGCAGATGGCCTATTTCGAGCTGTGGAGATCATCGACACATCCGGTGGAGATGACTTCCCTGCGATGAGATCTCTGCGAATCACACAGGGAACAATGTTCATCGTAGTATACGCCATAGACGACATGCATTCTTTCAGGGAGGCCACCAGATACTGCAACATGATCAAGACATGCAGGAGTAAGTAACAGTGTGTAGGATACATGCAGGACGAAACATCCTGGAAACGTTCTGACACTTTATAGAATATTTAAAGCCTGGAAATGTCTTACAATTTGAAAAATAACCAAGAAGTCATGTAAATGTCCAAGTACCTTTCATGCCCAAACATTTTATTTAATGTCTTTTTGATAGATCAAATGTGAAATTCAGTGTGAAAACTATTTTAGTCGAAAATCCAAAATGGCCGCCAAAATACATTTCAGATAATGTTGACATCACAGGAGGATTACATTTTATCAAACTTCATCATCTCCCCTTCCAATTTGAAGCGACTCAGCGTTTGAATCACATCGTCATGTGGAATTTTCTTTAGTTTGTTGTTGACATATAATACAAATAGAAGAAAATTGCTTTCAATCTGCCTCGAGTACTGATTCTAAAATCTGGTTACTCCCGAAACAACGAATTCATTATCATGCTATCTTTGGCGCACGAGGATGTTCTACACATAAGTAATTAGTACTTAAACCACTTGTGTTCAGTACAGAAAGGGAATTCCATGTTGACGTAGTTAGGTCACGTGTCAATTTATGTCTTCCAGGCTTTGGGTATCTATTGATGGCGTCCTTTAAATGATCTTTTCAAAGTATCCATCATTTTTTTCAGAAAACGCTGACGTTCCTATTTTATTTGCTGCGAATAAATTGGACAACGTTGAGAAAAGAATCATCACTTCCGAGATGGCACTAGACATGGCGAGAAAGTTGAATTGTCCCCATGTGGAGGTGAGCGCCAGATGGAACCTGAATGTACAGGGCATGTTCGATATGGTCCTGTCCATGAAGCTCGCTGTCAGAAAGGAGAGCACAGTTCAGCCTAGGAATGACAAAGTCACACGACCTCGCTTTGATTGCTTGAGTGAGAAGAAATCTCCGGTTCCGGATCGAGGGAAGTTTCCAATACAGAGGTCGAATACTTACCATGGGTTCTCCCAAGAAACCATTGCAAGAGCCAAGCAACATACCAAGCGACAAAACAGTGTTGATTTGAAGTAGCCAGAGGTGTCAAATAGGTGTTTATATTTAACACTTGCAAATGTCAGGGAACATATAAAGCGTATGAAAAGTTGCAGCATTTTGGACCCTGAGATGTGTTATGGGCAGTTTGTATTATATTTAAAAATATTAAAACTATGAATCTCAATATTTATTTAAGAAGAACACATTGCAACAATGTAATTTTTCTGGCAGATATTCTTTTTTCAATGGTCTTGAGCATAATAATATTGTTTCTATTATTTTCCAGTATAATTTCGATAGAAAGCCCCCTCCCTTCATGAATATCAAATAGTCGGCCTCTAATAAAACTCTTCCGAAGTGCTTTGTTGAAGTACCTAACGACTGGGTATTTTCTGAAAATTTAGCATGATTTTCAGTTTACCTATGCTTGCCGTAAAGAGCGACTATGCTTGCCGTAAGAGGCGACGTACGGGATCGTTTTGTTTAGGCTCGCTGACTTGGTTGATGCATGTCATCGTGTCCCAATTGCGTAGATCGATGTTCATGATATCAATCACTGGATTGTCTGGTCCAGATTCGATTATGTACAGACCACCGTCGTGTAGCTGGAATATTGCTGAGTGCGGCGTTAAACAACAAAGAAAGAAATAAAACTTGTGTTATAGTGTATACTCATCCGTACTGAAATTTTTTTAAAAAGGATGAATGTTGAAAGGATACACTTTTTCTTTTCAAATTTCGTTTCTGTTCACCGGACCAAAACGACTTTTGAAACATCGTTTCATTCTTTATTTTTACCCACCCTACGTTGTCGAAGGCAATCCCCATATGCCCAAGGGTTTTGAGGGTTCATATATTCAGCTATTGAGATCACAGATTCCTATTTCGTCTAATTTCGCTTCTTACGTCATGGACTTTTGTTTGTCCCAATTCCCATTTTACACAAGTACCGGATTATATCTTGGTTCAACGATTATTATAAGGTTATTTAGAAACCTACTTTGTATGCTGTAATTTTATTTCATGATCGTTGAGTATTGTCATGTTTATTTTATGAATAGACTATATGTATCATTTGTTTGAAATATTCTGTGAATTTCTTGTGAAGTAATCTTTAATTCTACGTCAAGTATTCTTTAATTCCACGTCAAATAATCTTTTATTCCACGTCAAGTAATCTTTAATTCCACGTAAAGTAATCTTTAATTCCACGTAAAGTAATCTTTAATTCCTCGTAAAGTAATCTTTATTTCAGTAATCTTTAATTCCACCTTAAGTAATCTTTAATTCCATGTAAAGTTATCTTTAATTCCACGTAAAGTGATCTTTAATTTCTCGTAAAGTAACCTTTAATTCCACGTAAAGTCATCTTTAATTTAACGTAAAGTAATCATTAATTCCACGTAAAGTAATCTTTAATTTCACATAAAGTAATAATTAATTCCACGTAAAGTAATCTTCAATTCCATGTAAAGTAATATTTAATACCATGTAAAGTAATCTTTAATTCCACGTAAAGTAATCTTTAATTCAACTTAACGTAATCATTAACTCGACTTAAAGTAATCTTTAATTCCATGTGAAGTAATCTTTTATTCCACGTAATGTAATCTTTAATTCCACGTAAAGTAATCTTTACTTTCATATAAAGTAATCCTTTAATTCCACCTTAAGTAATCTTTAATTCCATGTAAAGTAATCTTTAATTCCACGTAAAGTAATCTTTAATTTCACGTAAAGTTATCTTTAATTCCACGTAAAGTAATCTTAAATTCCATGTAAAGTAATCTTATATTCAATGTGTCCTATCTATTTTCACTGTAATAAGGACGGACAAATACCCACCGATATGGGCTGTCTGCCGGCAGTAAGTTTGAAGAGCGAAAGCACGTGTGTGTTATGTCAATAATTATAGCTGACGATCCTTACGTGCCAGTACGTTAGTCTACCACAAATCAATATAAACGACAACATGTTTTATCAGCCAATAGCCTTTATAGCCCGTCATTACACAATGTGTTTTGCACATTTCCCAGGGTTTGGGCAATCAGCTAATTAGTGTAATCCCTTGATTAGGGCTGGTAAAGCATATACGTTGATTCGAGTGGTTCACACTCGTTTCAAGATAGCCCTTTGACGCTTTAATATTCAGGGCAAAACTATACTTTATTACACTACACACGGGGGTAAGACTAGCTTATTACTTTTCTAAGGTGCCGAATTTTAGACAAAACTGACGTTGTATTGGAGTTTGGTTTAAAATAAAATCTGCAATAAGCGAAATTGAAAATCCACGAGCAGGGCTAACTCACGGGCTGTTCCATCTAATTGCCTGCACCCTGTCGTTGCGAGACAAAGTATACGTAGTAAAAATAATTGAAAAAGAACTAAATGGGTAGATTATGGCTAAATATTCACGTTGTAGTATCCGTTGCGTGTGTGATGATTCATAGTCCCATGCAGCAATAAGTGTGATTTAGATTTAAGTTTTATATGAATTTGCTTCAGATTAGTCACATGACTCGAAACACAAGTGCATTGTGGGACCGGGGTAACATTGCCATTGTTCTGTGTCGCTGGTTGTTGTAGGCTGAGGTGTTTTCTCTCGTACAAGTTGCAAGTTTCGTTCCCCCACTAATCGTAGCAACCGACAGCAACTGCCAGCCATGGAATAGCGTGCTTATGTGTTGGTTGCAATACGGATGTCGTACAGAAATCCCAGATATCTTTACGCCCGAGGTGGATGTATGTTGAAGGTTGATAGCGAGTCATACGAAAAGGCTGGAAGACCTTAAACAAACCGGCCACAATAGATGGGCCACGTTATTCGGGAAAATATTGATGTGCCCTGTGCTTTTGTAACCAATCACGTGACCCAAATATGCACTTCGTGAGATGAACAATCGATGGCCAAGTTACAATTCTGCGACTACTGCTCATTTTGAAGGTTGTCTGTTGGTTTCAGAGTTGGCTGGGCACAAGATCAGGTTCCGTTCCTTGTATTGGCACAACACGTGAAGCCCATCCTCGGTGTCCTTCGCCGTGAGATGGACGTCTTTTCATTTTCGTGATGTGTACAAGTTTGTTTGTTTTGTACAGTTACCATGGTTACACGCATATGTGCCCTATCATAAATTGACATTAGTAAATCAAGTCAAAGACGTATACAGTATATACGTCCGTGATCAAGTGTATATATGTATGTATGTGTACGAGGTAACATGTGTTTTGTTATGAAATAAAAGCGACAAAAAATGTTCAATATTTGTAAGAAATCTCTGCTGTAAACATTATCCAGTGTACGATTCTGACTATATGTTTAGGAACCACATCGTTATGATACCAGGTCTGCGGATCCTGCCGCACATACAAGAAATAATTAGCACTGAACGTGTCTAGAAATGTGTTTACAACCTCCACGGAACAAAGTTTACACGTGTTGTATCTACCCACATAAATAGAGACCATGATCCCACAACATATAGCGACATCCCAAACAATTGCGCGTTCAGGGGTCTCAAACTGTCAACATCGTAGAGTGAGTGTTTGTTTATTAGCTTGTTGTTTAACACTGCAATATCCCAGCTATATGACAGCGGTCTTTAAATAATCGAGTCTGGATTATTGAATACAGTGATTGACATCATGAGCATCCCTGTGATATGTACAAGTACATTTTAGGGTACAGTTATTGTCTAAATGGAGTTGGATTTTTGTTATGTTTTTGTACCTAAAGCAAAGTGTTACGTGTACACATTGTATCAAAAAGCAACAAATACCTGCAACTTGCCTTTGCATGACATCGATATCACGTCAAACATACACAATGAAGACGAGACACCCAAATACGTCACCAGGTGTCCAACATTTAGGTTCATTTGTCAATATTTCAGTGGGAGCCATAAGTGGGAGGGACGCCCAAACTGATGTCGAAACAGCGAAGACGGGCATGGTGATGACAAACCTAGAATTGTTCCTCTGGGTCAGTGGACGCCATACACTGAGTGATAAGGTTATTACCCTGTCAGTGGATCAATGTGCACTAGACGCCATACACTGAGTGATACCGTTATTACCCAGTCAGTGGATCAATGTGACAGGACGCCATATACTGGGTGATACCGTTATTACCCAGTCAGTGGATCGATGTGCACTGGACGCCATACACTAAGTGATACCGTTATTACCCAGTCAGTGGATCAATGTGCACTGGACGCCATACACTGAGTAATACCGTTATTACCCATTCAGTGGATCAATGTGCACTGGACGCCATACACTGAGTGATACCGTTATTACCCAGTCAGTGGATCAATGTGCACTAGACGCCATACACTGAGTGATACCGTTATTACCCAGTCAGTGGATCAATGTGCACTGGACGCCATACACTGAGTGATAAGGTTATTACCCAGTCAGTGGATCAATGTGCACTAGACGCCATACACTGAGTGATACCGTTATTACCCAGTCAGTGGATCAATGTGACAAGACGCCATATACTGAGTGATACCGTTATTACCCAGTCAGTGGATCGATGTGCACTGGACGCCATACACTAAGTGATACCGTTATTACCCAGTCAGTGGATCAATGTGCACTGGACGCCATACACTGAGTGATACCGTTATTACCCAGTCAGTGGATCAATGTGCACTAGACTCCATACACTGTTAACAACGGCGTCAAACCCAACTAACTCACTTACTTTGTGTCGCCAAATTTGACATGGCTGAAGTATTGCTGAAATATTTGATATATACACAACTCACTGATTGAGTATAACACCTATATGAGGGGCGGTCGGGTAGCCAAGTGGTTAAAGTGCTCGCTCATCACGCCGAAGACCGGGTTCGATTCCCGACATGGGTTCAATTTTTGAAGCCCATTTCCGGTGTCCCCCGCCGTATTATTGCTGGAATATTGCCAAAAGCGGCGTGAAAACATACTCACTCACTAACACCTATATGTAACTATGGCAACCACTTTGTAAAAGGGGATACCAAATACTAAAAATCAACAAAAGAAACGTTTAT